TGGGCCTGGGGCTTCCAGAAACTAGCCCAGTCCACGCTCCACGCACCCCGTGATGCCCCAGGAGCGGGGCATCCTCTTAGTGGTAAGACCCTGCTGAGGACAGGATCTTCACGGGCCTTAGGAGGGTCTCTGAGGCCTCTGCAGCTGGGGCCTTGGAGGAGACAGCACTGGTGGGCTTCGAGGGGAGGCTTTCCAAATGTCTGGAGAGTCCAGAAGCTTCTGCTCCCCATTCAGACTTCCTCCAAAGAGCCCTGAGATCTCGCCTCACCTGGGGTTCCTAGCCTCAGAGACAGAGCCTGGCTGGGGACCCGCCCCGCATCTGGAGAGAGTGCAAGGCGGTCTTCCAGCGTCTTGCCCTTCTCACCCCGTGGCTTGTCTCTGAGTATTCAGGACCCCCAGCCCCCGGGTCCTCCCACCCGAGCGAGGCCCTGCAGAGGCATATGCCGGACTCCCGTGGGGTTCTCCCATGGAGCGTGCGTGGGTACCCATGAATGAGGAGGGGTGCGTGTCAAGTGTTGGGGGTGCTGCCCACATGGAGTGGTCTTGAGAGGCCATCCTTTGAGGTGGGGGCTGCCTTGTTCTCTGGGATTCTGTATGCCCCAGGATTGTCCCCCTCTGCCCTAGCAGGGCTCTCCCCTCTGGCTCGGTCCCTCCCTCCCCACTAGCCCCTAGGCCAAGGACCCTAACCCTTCCCTGGGGCCTGCAGGGACTGAGTTGTTTGTCTTGTGGACTCCTTGGAAGCTCATCCCTTCCCCTATTTAAGCCAGGCCCTTAGGATTCAAAGTAGACCCCACAGGTCAGCAGGAAAGCTGGCTAGCGATTTATCATTTTAATCGAGGTTTCCTACTTAGTATTCATCACTCACCCCAGACGGATGGGGAGGTGCAGGGTGGTCCTACCTTCTTCACTCCTCGCTGGACACCCCCGGCCCCATCCCCAGCCTCCTGCCCCAGGGAACTTTCTCCTTCTTCCTAGTTCCCAGGCCTTGAGTGGGTTGGCTTTTTGCGTTTTTCCCTGCAGCTACAAATCAGGAAACCGGGTCATAAAACAACCTTGGGTAAGTGGGTAGGATGGAACCAGCAGTCTCACAGCCGCTGCTGGGGAACAGAAAGCTTCCTTCTGTCTTCCTCCCTCTCTCTTCCTCCGTCTCCCACCCTGCCCCTCTCCCACCACCCCTCTCCCTCAGGAAAACCTCCAGCCACAGCCTCCCAGCTGGGCTCCACCGGGTCCCCTATGGGAGCTGCGGCAGCTCTGGCCCACGCTGTGCCCATTTCCCTGATCCAGGGCACTGGAGGGGCTGTGGGCCCAGGGACAGCAGTTACGGGGTGACAGCAGGTGGCCAGTGACCAGCACTGCTCATGAGTGGACCTCCCTGAGGTGGGTCCGGCTCCCCGAATAAGAGGAGGGGTCCTGGCCTGGCCTTCAGGGCCTCAGAGGCTGCAGAGGGGCCCTCTGCCCTCCCCTTCCAGCACCTTCTTGCTGCCACGCTCCAAGATGCCTTCCTATAGGTGGGAGTTCTTGGTGTGGGGTCCAAGGAAGGGAACGTGCACCCTCGGTCTGGTCATCCAGCAAAAGGAACTTCACTGTGGGTGGGCTCAAAGGTCGGTCTCTTGCTCTCTGAACCTCACCTTTTTTCTCTGGAAGGGCGGAATAGTCAAAGTGTTAACTGAGCAAACCTGCACAAGAGTAAGCATTCCCGGCCAATGCCAAGGGTCCCCCACCACCCTCCACCCCGTCCTCCTCTGCTCCCTCGGTCCAGGAGCCTGGGTCCAGGAGCCTGCCTTCCAAGAGTTGTCATAAGGGACTTCTGTCCTAAGCATCGTATCTGGTGCCTAGAGGACGCTCAAGGCTGACTTCCTCCCTCCCCTCAGGAACTTCAGAGATCAGGGCTTGACCCAGTGTCCCCAAGACCCAGGTGGGGGAAGCAAGGAGGGGGAGGCTAGACTGGACCCGAAGGAGCCCTGCGAGGATGTGTTAGGGGGTGCCCTTCTCCCTCCAGCCGAACCCACTGAGGCCAGACCCCGGGTCTGTCCCCCTCTGCTCCCCTCCTCCCCTCCCGAGGTTCAGAGGTCATCCTCTCTGCCAAAGGGGCCCCTCCTGCTGCCGCCCACCCCTGCCTAGTGCGTGCCTCTCTCCCCCTCCTTGTCCTGTCCTAGTGCTCTTGAAAAGTAATCATAATCATAATAATTAATAACAACAGAGCCTGTGGCAGGCCTGAGGCAGCTCTTAAAGAGGCAGAGCCCCGTTTTCTCCTGGCTGAGCTGGCGGACCTCGAGCCCGACTTTGATGCCATGCCTTTGTTCCTGCAACCGTCCCTTTCCCCCCTCCCGCCGCCTGGGGTTGGAGGGTGGTGTTGGGGTGAGCATTTTTGCCTGCGTTCTCCATCAGGCACTGGGCTTCTCGTATTTTAATTGAACTGTCTTTTCTTAGAGATAGATGCTTTCACCGCATCCAGGGCTTGTGTGTATTGGGAAACCCGCCTTTAATACAGCTCGGCTAAATTAAAAGACACAGCAGCTGGACTGATTAAAGGTGGGGGGAAAGCACACTGGCCATAGCACTCTCTCTTTTTAAGTAATGTTTCCGGTAATGCATTTTGGAGAATGTGAAGAAAAATAAAAAATAAAAAAATAAAGCTGTAGAAATGTTAATGATATCCACAGGACACTCAGCAGGAAATGGGAGCGATCTGGGACTAATAAAAGCCGAAATGTAATTTGTGCAGATATATGACGCGCAGCTCAGCTCCCGCGCCTCCAGAGCAGGCCTGGGTTTGTGCATTCCGGGCTCAGAAACACAGGCCGGGGGGACGGAGGCGGAGCGCAGTGTCGTGTCCTCCGGAGCAGGCCCTCCTGGCCAGGGCCTGCTGCCGACCCCACCTGCCAGCCGGTGACACCCTAATAAAAGTGACTTCCACTGCCAGCCGGGTTGTGCGCCTGCTCATTTCCTCTGCCCAAGGGTGGAAGGGGACGGCCCCTAAGCCCTCTCCGCAGAGCTCAGGAGGCCCAGGGCCGCCTGCCTGGCTGACAGCCACCAGGCCAGAACCGAGTGCCGCCTCCAGCCCCTATGGGCCTGGCGCATCGCGGCAGGCACCTCCTGTAATGTTTGATCCAAGCCGCCAGGGATGGGACTGAAGTGGGTCAGAAGGGCGGGCACATTTCTCCTTGTTGGGGATGCCTGTGAAGAATCCGGGGGGAGGAGGGAGGGGAGGCCGCCGGGCTGTGTTCGTCACGGGGCCTGGTGGGCAGGGGTTCGCCCTGTGGGACGCTGGTCCCCTCTCACAGCAGCCCCGGGCACATCTACCCCTGAGTCAGGGTCAGCTGACTGCCGAGCTCAGGGGAGGTGGGCCCCGGGCTGTGCTAACAGGGCTCCTGGGGGCTTCTGGCTGCCCTGCTCAGCTGGATGGGGCCCCTCCCCTGGCCCCCACCCTGGTCAGCCCCAACACTGAGAAAGGCGTCTAAGGGGGATCCGGGCAGAGAATAGAGGAGGGAGTTGGACCTCCTGGGGGAGCCCCCATCCTCCCCCACATCTCTGCCCTCTTTCTCACGTCTGTGTGTGTCTCTCTCTCTTCTGTGCCTCTTTATTCCTTTCTGGTCCCTCCTATAACCCTGGAATCTTGTGGCCTGAAGCAGGCCACCCCTTCCTCTTTCACCTTGGGAATGGCTGGGAACTGGACCGTCCCCGGTGCCCTCCTGGGGGCCCGGGCCTTTTTTTCTGCCTCTTGCCCGCCCCCACCAGTGGCAGGGTTGTGGGTAAATCCTGATCCCCCGCCCCCACCGCCCCCCGGGCGTCTGGCCAACTGCCAGACTCCTCGATGTGATTTCTCCTGAGCCTGGAACGTTCCTTGCTCCTCCCCTCTCCCTCCTTTGAGGGCCTTCTGGGGTGACCTGGCCCCCAGTCAGGGAGACCTTCAGCCTGGACGCTGTTGTGTGAATCCAGTTGCTCTGCCCTGAAGGGCCCACCGTTTCTCCGGGGTCATTTCCTGATCCCAGATCCTGCGTTGGGGCTGGTTAGACCTCGCCGGGGCCCGAGCCCCTGAAATCATAAACAGATGGTCTCTTGGCCTGGCGTGCCCCGGTGCTGACCCTGTGAGATGGAGACGGGAGGGGCCTCCGGGGCTGCCTCACGCCCAGCTGTGGGGCACTCCTCTGTGGCCAAGGGACTGCGGCTCTGTCCCCCATTAGCATGCACTCCCTCACTCTGGGCCACGTAATCTGTTTACGCACCTATGATACCAAACCAGGAGGCAGGTGCTGCTGTCCTGCGTTACTGGGAGTCGGAGAAGGGGACGTTTTATGCCTACAGTGGCTCACAGCCCCTAATCGACGTCTGCTAGGAGGAATAGACAGATTCCAGATGGCATGGCCGTGATGGAGGTGCGCGCGTGCGTCTGTGTGTGTGTGTGTGTGTGTGTGTGTATGCGCGCCCGCTCTCCGCAGGCCCTGGTGAGTGGCTCCTCTGGGCAGGGGCAGACCTTCCCGGCTGCCCGCACGGCCGGGTCCCACTCGAACGCTGCCGCACTGGGACTCGATTGCAGGACCCAGCCGGCCCCCCAGGGACCGGAGAGCGGGAAGCGCTCTGCTAAATGGTTCTGCGGGCAGGGAAGCGCTGGGAGTGGTGGGTGGGGTGGAGGGGAGGAGCTGACCCCGAGCAGGGTGGGGTGGCCCCCGCGGGCGCGTGGGGCGGTGGGTCCGCGCCTCGCCTCGCCGCAGCGGTGGCCATCCTGGGCCAGGCCCAGCGGGCCGCGGGGCCGATGTCGGGCCGGGAATTACAGAGCACACCCCCCTGCTACAGAAGTTGTCGATATGTGCACAGCTGGTGGGGAGGCTCGGGCAAAGGGGAGACCATTAAGAGCTGCAGGGGAGAGGGCAGGGCGGGAGAGGGGTGGGAGGCCGGCGGCTTTCGGAGGGGAAGGGAAATGGCCCGTCTGAATCCCTCTCCCTCTCCCCCTCCCCCTCCCCTCCCCGCCCTCCCTCTCTCCCTTTCTCTCTTCACAGATAACCAGCCCGAGTCATGCAGTCTTTTCGAGAAAGGTGTGGTTTCCATGGCAAACAACAGAACTACCAGCAGACCTCACAGGAGACATCGCGCCTGGAGAATTACCGGCAGCCGAGCCAGGCCGGGCTGAGCTGCGACCGACAGCGGCTTCTGGCCAAGGACTACTACAGCCCGCAGCCCTACCCGGCCTACGAGGGCGGCGCCGGCACCGCCCCCGGCCCGGCGCGGGGCGGCAAGGGCCTGGCCTCGCAGCAGTCCCTGCAGGGCAGGCCGGCCTTCTCGGGCTACAGCGTGCAGGACAGCAGCGCGTACCCCGGCCGCTACTCGGGCGAGGAGAGCCTGCAGGCCTGGGGGGCCCCCCAGCCGCCGCCCCCGCAGCCGCAGCCCCTGCCGGGGGGCATGGGCAAATATGACGACAGCTTGATGAAAAAGGCGGCAGTGCCCCCTGGCAGGCAGTACCCGGAGCAGGGCGCCCAGCTGCCCTTCCGGACTCACTCGCTGCACGTCCAGCAGCAGCTGCCGCAGCCCCAGCAGCCCCAGCAGCCCCTGGCGTACCCCAAACTGCAAAGGCAGAAGCTGCAGAACGACATGGCCTCGCCGCTGCCCTTCCCGCAGGGCGGCCACTTCCCCCAGCACTCCCAGTCTTTCCCCGCTTCCTCCAGCTACTCCTCCAGCGCCCAGGGCGCCCACTCCTACAAGAGCTGCACCGCGCCGTCCGCCCAGCCCCACGACCGGCCGCTGACGGCCAGCGCCAGCCTGGCGCCGGGGCCGCGGGTCCAGAACCTTCACGCCTACCAGTCCGGCCGCCTCAGCTACGACCAGCAGAAGCAGCAGCAGGCGGCGCTCCAGAGCCGGCACCACGCGCAGGAGACCCTCCATTACCAAAACCTTGCCAAGTACCAGCACTACGGGCAGCAGGGCCCGGGCTACTGCCAGCCGGACGCGGCCGTCAGGACTCCGGAGCAGTATTACCAGACCTTCAGCCCCAGCTCCGGCCACTCGCCCGCGCGCTCCGTGGGCCGCTCGCCCTCCTACAGCTCCACCCCGTCGCCGCTGATGCCCAACCTAGAGAACTTCCCCTACAACCAGCAGCCGCTCGGCACCGGCGCCTTCCCCGCGGGCATCACGGACCACAGCCACTTCATGCCCCTGCTCAACCCCTCCCCGACCGATGCCGCCGGCTCGGTGGACAGCCAGGCGGGCAACGGCAAGCCGCCGCCGAAGGACAAGCTGCCCGAGAACCTGCTGTCGGACCTCAGCCTGCAGAGCCTCACGGCCCTGACGTCCCAGGTGGAGAACATCTCCAACACGGTGCAGCAACTGCTGCTGTCCAAGGCCGCCGTGCCGCAGAAGAAGGGCGCCAAGAACCTGGCGTCCAGGACGCCGGAGCAGCACCGGAGTCAGCACTGCAGCCCCGAGGGCAGCGGCTACTCGGCCGAGGCGGCCGGCACGCCGCTGTCCGAGCCGCCGAGCAGCACGCCGCAGTCCACGCACGCTGAGCCGCCCGACGCCGACTACCTGAGCGGCTCCGAGGACCCGCTGGAGCGCAGCTTCCTCTACTGCAGCCAGGCCCGCGGCAGCCCCGCCAGGGTGCACGGCAACTCCAAGGCCAAGCCCGAGTCGGTGTCCACCTGCTCGGTGACCTCGCCCGACGACATGTCCACCAAGTCCGACGACTCCTTCCAGAGCCTGCATGGCAGCCTGCCGCTCGACAGCTTCTCCAAGTTTGTGGCGGCCGAGCGGGACTGCCCGCGGCTCCTGCTCAGCGCCCTGGCGCAGGAGGACCTGGCCTCCGAGATCCTCGGGCTGCAGGAGGCCATCGGCGAGAAGGCCGAGAAGGCCTGGGCCGAGGCGCCTGGCCCGGCCAAGGATGTCAGCAAGCCTCCCTTCTCGCTGGAGAATCACAGCGCCTGCCTGGACGCCGTGGCCAAGAACGCGTGGCCGCGGCCGGGGGAGCCGGAGGCCCTGCCCGAGGCCCTGCAGCTCGACAAGGGTGGCGGTGCCAAGGACTTCAGCCCGGGGCTCTTCGAAGACCCTTCCGTGGGCTTCGCCGCCCCGGACCCCAAGAAGACGGCCGGTCCCCTCGCCTTTAGCCCCAAGACCACGCTCGGGGCCGTCACGCCGGACCCTGCCGCGGCAGCCTTCGACTGCTTCCCGGACACGACCAGCGCCAGCTCGGCAGATGGCGCCAACCCCTTCGCCTGGCCCGAGGAAAACCTGGGCGATGCTTGTCCCCGCTGGGGCCTGCACCCCGGCGAGCTCACCAAGGGCCTGGAGCAGGGCGGGAAGGCCTCCGACGGCGTGGGCAAGGAGAATGCCCATGAGGCTTCGGGCTGCCCGGGCTTCCAGGAGGGGGAGCCGCCCGGGGACAAGGCCGCCGGGCCTCGGGACTCGGCGCAGGAGGCGGCGGGCGGGGTGAAGGAGGAGGTGGGCGGGCTGCTGCAGTGCCCCGAGGTGGGCAAGGCCGACCGCTGGCTGGAGGACAGCCGGCACTGCTGCTCCGCCGCGGACTTCGGGGACCTGCCCCTGCTACCACCGCCCGGCAGGAAAGAGGACCTGGAGGCGGAGGAGGAGTACTCCTCCCTGTGCGAGCTCCTGGGCAGCCCCGAGCAGAGGCCCGGCCTGCCGGACCCGCTGTCGCCGAAGGCCCCCCTGCTGTGCACCAAGGAGGAGGTGGAAGAGGTGCTGGACACCAAGACCGGCTGGGGCTCCCCGTGCCACCTGTCCGGCGACTCCGTCATCTTGCTGGGCCCCACCGTGGGCGCCGAGTCGAAGGTCCAGAGCTGGTTTGAGTCCTCCCTGTCCCACATGAAGCCGGGCGAAGGAGGCCCCGACGGGGTGCTGGCGCCCGGGGACTCCGCCACGCTGGCCCCAGATGCCTCCCTGGCGCAGAAGCCCAACAAGCCGGCCGTGCCCGAGGCGCCCATCGCTAAGAAGGAGCCCGTGCCCCGCGGCAAAAGCTTACGGAGCCGGCGGGTGCACCGGGGGCTGCCGGAGGCTGAGGACTCCCCGTGCCGGGCGCCCGTGCTGCCCAAGGACCTCTTGCTCCCCGAATCCTGCACTGGGCCGCCGCAGGGACAGATGGAAGGAGCGGGAGCCCCAGGCCGGGGGGCCTCGGAAGGGCTCCCCAGGATGTGCACGCGCTCCTTCACGGCCCTGAGCGAGCCCCGCACACCTGGACCCCCAGGCCTGACCACCACCCCCGCCCCCCCGGACAAACTGGGGGGCAAGCAGCGAGCCGCCTTCAAGTCCGGCAAGCGGGTGGGCAAGCCGTCCCCCAAGGCAGCCTCCAGCCCCAGTAACCCGGCCGCCCTGCCCGTGGCCTCGGACAGCAGCCCCATGGGCTCCAAGACCAAGGAGACAGACTCGCCCGGCACCCCGGGCAAGGACCAGCGCTCTATGATCCTGCGGTCCCGCACGAAAACCCAGGAGGCGTTCCACTCCAAGAGGCGGCGGCCCTCGGAGAGCCGCCTCCCCAACTGCCGCGCTGCCAAGAAGCTGCTGGCCAACAACCACCTGCCTGCCTCGTTCAAGGTCTCCGGCAGCCCCCAGAAGGAGGGCAGGGCCAGCCAGCGGGCCCGGGTCCCCAAGCCGGGCGCAGGCAGCAAGCTCTCTGACCGGCCCCTCCACGCGCTCAAGAGGAAGTCGGCCTTCCTGGCGCCAGTCCCCACCAAGAAGCGGAACCTGGTTCTACGGAGCGGCAGTGGGGGCGACGTGAAGGAGGAGGGAGCCGAGGACCCCTCCACCCTCTTCAAGAGGATGTCTTCGCCCAAGAAGGCCAAGCCGGCCAAGGGCAACGGCGGCGAGCCCGCCGTGAAGCCCCCGCCCCCGGAGACCCCTGACGCCTGCCTGAAGCTCGCCTCGCGGGCGGCCTTCCAGGGGGCCATGAAGACCAAGGTGCTTCCGCCCCGGAAAGGCAGGGGCCTGAAGCTGGAGGCCATCGTGCAGAAGATCACCTCGCCCAGCCTGAAGAAGTTTGCGTGCAAGGCGCCGGGGGCCCCTCCCGGTAACCCTCTGAGCCCCTCTCTCCCTGAGAAGGACCGTGGGCTCAAGAGTGCGGGCGGCAGCCCAGTTGGGGCAGGAGAAGGTCTCTTAAATGTGGGCCCTGGGCAGAAGCTCCCGGCAGCTCCGGGGGCCGACCCGTTATGCAGAAATCCGACCAACAGATCCTTAAAAGGCAAACTCCTAAACAGTAAGAAACTGTCCTCAACTGACTGTTTCAAAACTGAGGCCTTCACGTCCCCCGAGGCCCTGCTGCCTGGGGGGACTGCCCTGGCACCTAAGAAGAGAAGCCGGAAAGGCAGGGCTGGAGCCCTCGGACTCCCCAAAGGTCCCTTGGAGAAGCGGCCCCATCTAGGCCCGGCTCTGCTCCTGACCCCCCGAGACAGGGCCAATGGCACTCAGGGGGGCAGTGAGGACAGCTCTGGTGGAGGAGGCAAGAAGCCAAAGACGGAGGAGCTGGGCCTGGCCTCCCAGTCCCCTGAGGGCCGGCCCTGCCAGGCCCAGACGAGGGCGCAGAAGCAGCCGGGCCACGCCAACTACAGCAGCTATTCCAAGCGAAAGCGCCTCACCCGGGGCCGGGCCAAGAACACCACCTCCTCACCCTGTAAGGGGCGTGCCAAGCGGCGGCGGCAGCAGCAGGTGCTGCCCCTGGATCCCGCCGAGCCTGAAATCCGCCTCAAGTACATTTCCTCGTGCAAGCGGCTTCGGGCAGACAGCCGCACCCCGGCCTTCTCGCCCTTTGTGCGGGTGGAGAAGCGAGACGCGTTCACCACCATATGCACTGTGGTCAACTCCCCTGGGGAGGAGCCCAAGCCCCACAGGAAGCCTTCCTCCTCCGCCTCCTCTTCCTCATCCTCATGCTCATTCTCCTTGGATGCGACTGGGGCCTCCTTGGCCACGCTCCCTGGAGGCTCTGTCCTGCAGCCACGGCCCTCCCTGCCCCTCTCCTCCACCATGCATCTGGGGCCCGTGGTCTCCAAGGCCCTGAGTACCTCTTGCCTTGTTTGCTGCCTCTGCCAAAACCCGGCCAACTTCAAGGACCTCGGGGACCTCTGTGGGCCCTACTACCCCGAACACTGCCTCCCCAAAAAGAAGCCAAAACTCAAGGAGAAGGTGCGGCCGGAGGGCACCTGCGAGGAGGTCTCGCTGCCCCTCGAGAGAACACTCAAAGACCTCGAGTGCGCAGGCGCTGTTGCCACTGGCAAGCCCCCGAGGCCCGAGGGCCCGGCCGACCCCGGCAAGCAGGGCTCGCTACGCACCAGCGCCCGGGGCCTGTCCCGGCGGCTGCAGAGCTGTTACTGCTGTGACAGTCGGGGGGACGGTGGCGAGGAGGCGGCCCCAGCTGACAAGAGCCGCAAGCATGAGTGCAGCAAGGAGCCACCGGCCGAGCCTGGCGGGGACACCCAGGAACACTGGGTGCACGAGGCCTGCGCCGTGTGGACGGGCGGGGTCTACCTGGTAGCCGGGAAACTCTTTGGGCTGCAGGAGGCCATGAAGGTGGCCGTGGACATGGTAAGAGGCCAGCCCGGCTGGGGCGGGGAGCCCGGGGTGCGCAGGACGGGCAGGCAGGCAGGCCATTGGGAAGCCCCCCCCCCCCCCGCATCTTTGCCGGCGCCACGGTTTGGGCCAAACATACCGGCCATCACCAATTCCTCTCCGGGGAGCTTTGGGGTGGAGTTGAGGCCGAGGCAGGACATGCTCGCCCACCCCTGTCCCCGACTTGCCCTGCCCAGCCCGGCCCCCGGCACCTTCCGGCTCCAAGTGCCCCCCCCGCCCCGTCCCAGCACCTACCTGTCCCCTTGGGCTCTGGGAAGGAGCCTCTCCGCACACGGTGGGTCGGCACGTGTCCCCTCGGGCAGGGTGGTCTGGGGACCTCTCCGCAACGGTCATAACGTGCTCCTTGAGGACCTCCAGTCCCCAAGGTCTGTGAGCAGGAACTCAGGCTGCCTTCTCGGTTCAGATCCCAGCATGGCCCATCCCTCCCCGTGGGACTCGGGGCCTGCGGCTTCGCGCCTCCGTATCCCCGCGTCCTCATGGCTGGCGTGGGCCACGCAGCGGGGCTGCGAGGGCTGAGGGAGTTCATGCCGTGAAGCCGCCAGGCCTGTCTGAGTGCCCGCCGACGACCCTCTGCTAGGACAGGGGACGTCGGCTGGGCCTCGGCTCACCAGCACTGTTACTCCCACTCCAGCTACCAGGGCTTCCTGCTCCTCACGCTCCCTCCTGAGGGGTGCAGGTGGCGGAGTGAGCAGGCAGCTAGACGGGGTGCTGGGGTCAGCAGGCTCTTCCTGGGGTCTGTGCTCTTGCCCACCTCCCCCCGACACACACGCACACGCACACACACACATGCACACGGACAGCCACACCTGGGACGGACACTCCCTCGCACCGCCTGTGCCCAAGGGCCTCGGCCTCGCCTGGGTTCCTGCACCCACCTTCCACTGCCGCGGGGCATGGTGGGAGACCTCTGCAGGCCCAGACATCCTGCCCAGGGGCCTCCAACCTGACTGAGGAAACCCCACCTCCAAGAGGACACCTGCACTTTCCGTGCTGCTCCTCCCTCCCTCCCTCCCTCCCTCCCTCTCTCTCTCTCTCTGTCACTGGCTCTTGGCTCCTTCCCAGCCATCCTGAAATAGGCTCAAGTCTCTTCCATCATTAAAAAGTAATACCCTCAGATCACCAATCCCCTCCTCCGACACCCACGCCCCACCAGGCCCCCCATCCAGGCCTCCCCTGCCTCCACGGCTCTGGGCCAGGCTGTGCTGCTTCTCCATCCTTCTCTGAGCCAGGGCCCGATCCAGTCTTTTCCATGGTGGTAGGCTAATCAAGCATGGGCTAAGCCTGTCCCAGGAGCTCTGGTCTCGCCTCATGGACCTGCACTAAAGTCCTGCCGGACTGACAAGAAAGCTGGGGGTCAGAGTGGCACCCTGCTTCCCTGCTGTCGCACAGCTCTTGAGCGCTGGAGCTGGAACTCCACCCATCTCCGCCCACTGTGTCCTATACCTCCTGCCACTGGGGCATCCCTGGGAAGGTCAGGCTGGGGTGGGGGATGCTGGGGGGGTTAGGACACACACCAGCAGGGCTTCGCTGCTCCCCGGCCGCATCTTCCTACGTCCCCCAAGGCAGCTCAGATGGGGTCTAAAAGGCCTCCCTGCGTCCGATGGCCCTGGGCCAGACCCGAACTGGCAGCCGGGCTGAGCCTCACAGGGGCCCAGCAAAGCAGCATCCCCCCACCGGACGCTCAGAACACTCTGGAGAGACGGCCAGGCTCTGAGACTTCTGAGGGTCCCGGCTCCATGCCCTCGCCTCCTGCAGCCTTGGCTCCCTTGGAGACACACAGACCCGGGTTCAAATCTCAGCTCTGCTGACAGTGGGTTCTGTGACTCCAGCAAGTCACTGCCCTCTGGGAGCTTCGGAAGGCCACACCCCGTTAGCAGGGTGGTAGGGCTACCTCCCCAGTGCACAGGAGGGGCCCCGTGCGGCAGGGTCCCCAGCCCCGGCACGCCTGTTAGTACCTTGGCCTCACTCTCGCTCTCGGGGGCACAGAAGTTCTGTGGGGGCCACTCAGGGACAGCCCTCTTTCTTCTCTGACCCCTCCCGAGAACCCCCACACCAACTGTTGTCCCTCAGCCCTCCCATGCCCACCTCCCGGGACCTCAGTTTCTCAGTCTGCCCAGAACCACTGCAGACCCTATGTCCTATCCAGGTGAGGCCTGGCCATGGATGCCAAGGATGGGGGCATGCACCTCTCACTGGGTGTTATTTAGAAGCTGCAAGCAAGGGCTCAGACCCCATTTTGGGCCCCCCCACCAGCCTGGGATCCTTTGGCAGGTTCACAAGCCCGGCTAGGGGAGCAGGGGGTCAGAGCTCGGGTGCTAGGCTCAGAAGGGCCCAACGCCTCTATCTCTCTGTACCTCGGTTTCTTCGTGTCTGGAACGCCGCCCACCAGTTTTTTGGGGGGGGCCTCAGTGCAGGCAGGGTGGTGTGAAGCCGCCCCTCTGGCTATTCCCCTTTAACCAACAAAACACCTGAGGGCCTGGGCCTGGCCCTGGCCCGCCTCCCGCTCCGTCACTTCTTTGTGGGCCGGAAATTGAGGCACTGTTGAGTCCCACAGCCCCAGGAGATCTCAGCCTTGACCGGAAGGCAGCTGCCCATCTGAAGGCATGTATGGACACCTGATGTTCCAGAACACACACAGCCCATCTCCCTGTACCTCCCGCCTCCCAGCTTGATGCCACAGGGAGCGTTCCCAGGCCTTATTCCCCAGGAAGGTGGGAGAAGACTTTCTCACTCATGGTCTCTCCCAGATGCTGGAGGTGGGGTCTCTCTCTTAGTCGTGGACGTGGGATGGAGCCCACCCCCGGCCCCGAGCAGTACGGGGAGATTTTTGCCAGCTCAAAGCCCAGCTCAGCTACCTGGGAGCTGTGTGCCCTCAGGCAGGTTACTCAGCCTCGGTAGGTAACCTGGGTAGAATTATGATAATACCAACATCATAAGGTTATGAGGTGGCTGCTTCCAGGCCCGCGGGGCACCGCATGAGTGACCCGTCCCGGTGGCTTAGCGCTGGGGCCTGGGCCTACCACTGCTCTGCTTCCCCGCAGTATGTACCTCCCGCCTGGTACGGCGGGGCTGTAGTTCTGGAGTCTGCGGGACTTGGGGCCCAGCCTGTCCCTCTGCAGGCCGCAGGGTTTCTCTCGCTCTTCGGAGGGCCTTCTCCGGGTGGCCCAGCTGTCCCGGCCACGTCCCTCTTCGGACAGCTGGGCCAGGTGTGGGACACCGCGTGCATCTACAGCCACTCTGCCTGTCCCCTCCTCCGTGCACCTGGGCAGGGCGGGGGGCCCCTCGGAGGGTGGGACAGGTCCATTCTGGGCTCCGCGCTTGCGTGGCTGCCAGACAGGGTAGAAGACGGTGCTCATTGCCTTCACGCTCGCCTGGAGTGGAGGCCTCAGTTTCACCACCTAGAAAATGGGGCTCATGACAGTCCCCAACCCCCTGGGAGGAGCCAGTGGGTAAGGACACGCCCTGTGCCCTGCACACCGAACCCCTGCTCAGCCCCAGCCAGGAGCCACACCCACAGCGGCCTCACCGCTTCTCGTCGTCTGCTGGGCACATGGTGTGTCCCGTGTGATCTTCACACGACTGGCCCGTAGGGCGGGGGGGCCCTCCCTCCTCACCCAGGTGGGGCCTGGAGACTTCGGGTGACCGGCTGAGGTCACCCAGCGCAGAATGGCAGAGCTGGGATGCGAACCCATGAGGTTCGACATTTATCCGTGAGGTTCGACATGCCCCTGCCCCAAGAGGGTCCCCTCATCCGAGCCCGGGGCTGCCACAGAACCAGCCCTCGGGCCACCTGCAACCTCCTTCCAACTGATTTCTGGGGTGGAGGAGGTGGGGTCCGGGAGGGGCCCACTGCAGACTCACCGCAGCTTCCCTCTCTCCTCGCCAGACCTGTTCCAGCTGCCAGGAAGCCGGGGCCACCATCGGGTGCTGCCACAAAGGATGTACCCACACCTACCATTACCCATGTGCCACCGATGCGGGTAAGAGCCAGCCCCAGGGGACAGGGAGGACAGGGAGGCCCCGGAGGCCTGGAGGCAGGATCAGGCCTCCCCTGCACCCCACCCGCCCCCGCCTGCTCCCGGGGCGGCAGCAGCCCCAGCCAAGTCACCCGCAGGAGCACACACAGGACGGAGTGGGGCCGGGTCCTTGGCCAGGGCTGGGATGCGAGCATGAGCTGCACCCCTCCTTCTGCAGGGATTAATTCACGCCCACTCCGCGCCAGGCCCGGCGTCAGGCCCTGGCTCTGTCCCCAGTTGCATCTTTACAGATAGGCTGCCTTCCCCATGGCCACACACAGCAGCACGGACAGACTTTGCCTGTCTGGCTCCACATCCCGTGCTCTCTCTCTCTCACCCCAGTACTGTCCAGCCCCCTGGGGCCTCACCTGTGAGTGGGACAGACAGGAAAATCATGATCCTTGCCCAGAGTTATGGAGACCAGACAGGGTGGAGAGAGTGTGAGCCGTGGGAGAGATTCATCCTGTCTGAGCTGGGAGGGAATGCAGGAGGACTTCCTGGAGGAGGCGGCATTGGCGCCAGGCCCCCCCAAGCTCAGGGGAGGTGCGCAGCAGCTGGTTAGTGGCTTGGAGCAATACAGGTTCTGTTCCGAATGAAGTGTCCGGAGGATTCCCCACATAGTAGGGATGTCTGTAGGGCCCTGGGGATTGCCACAGGAGGAGGAGACGCTGACTCAGGGAGAAGGGGCTTGCAGAGACCTCATGGGCGCTGAGTGCGCAGGCCTTAGGGGAAGGGCAGGGAGAGGGAGGTGCGGAGCCAGGGGCCAACTTCCCCGTGTTGGGAGGCAGGTGTGAGGCCGGCCAGGGCTGTTCTGCTCGGCTGGCCCGCTCATGGACCCCCGCACCACTCACTGCTTAAGTCCTTGGTTAGAGCTCTGACAGCGCAAGCACCACGCAGGAGACTGCAAGCCAGGACGCCCCGCCTCCGCC